CCTGATCTTTGCTCTACACTCTGAGGTGCAGCCGCCACATCTGCGCTGATGTCACGCTTCAGTTTCATTAAACGCTGAGTGGCTCAGTGATGCGGCGTTTATCATTTTAAAAGGCTGATCAGTAGAAAACCTTTCTGCAGTCATGGCAGCACAGCTGAAAGCAGAAAAGCCCAAACTGGATCTCAGGAAGTCACGTGATGTGAGCTTTTACTGTCAGTCTTTAAACAGCAGTGTTCTCGTGACCCCACGCTGCATCTGAAGCTGCTTTAGAGAAGAAACACCAAAGAAGAAGAGTGAAGATCCAGGGTTTTTACAGGACAGTGGTGCATCATGGGCAGGGGTCATGGCAGCGATGGAGGTCAGGTTCTTCATATATAGTCAGAGACGGCAGACCGAGGCGCAGGATCGCCTTACAAGTCCATGCTGAGGGAGAAATAATCCATCTACTCAGGATTTATCTGGAGAACATCAAACAGCTGATCCTCCCAAAGCCGCCGAAATCCCCCGACACCGGAACAGGACCTGCTCGCCTGCAGGTCAGCACCTCCTGGAAGGGGGGGGGGGGCACAAGAACAGAAGAGACTATGAAAGGTAACAAGGAGACATGAAGAGGAAAGAAGGGGAGTTCTTGTCAGCTTTCACAGAGGAGCAACAGAAAGTAAACATGAGAGATATATCATATATATCAGTTTGCTCTGTGACTCCTCAGACCTGCCGTCCTCCAGCTCTCCACCAGATGCCCTCAGACCTTCCTTTATCAGCGACATAATGAAAATGGTGATGACGACGACGATGATGATGGTGATGATGATGGTGATGACGACAATGGTGATGATGGTGATGATGATGGTGATGACGACAATGGTGATGATGGTGATGATGATGGTGATGGCGACGATGATGGTGATGATGGTGATGATGGTAATGATTGTGATGATGATGGTTATGATGATGATGATGATGATGATGGTGATGATTGTGATGATGATGGTTATGATGATGATGATGGTGATGATGATGATGATGGTGATGATGATGATTATGATGATGATGATGGTTATGATGGTTATGATGATGATGAGTATGATGATGATGATTGTGATGATGATGGTTATGATGATGATGATGATGATGATGATGATTGCGATGATGATGGTTATGATGATGGTGAAGAAGATGATGATGATGGTGATGATTCTAATGATGATGATGGTGATGATTGTGATGATGATGGTGGTGATTGTGATGATGGTTTAATAGTGGTGATTGTAATGATGATGGTGATGAAGATGATGGTGATGGTGTAATGGTGATTATTGTAATGATGAGGGTGATGATTGTGATGATGATGGTTATGATGATGATGATGAAGATGATGATGATGGTTTAATTGTGATGATTGTAATGATGATGGTGATGATGATGGTGATAATTCTAATAATGATGGTGATGATTATGATGATGATGATGATTCTAATGATGATGATGCTGGTGATGACCCTAATGATGCTGGTGATTGTGATGATGATGATGGTGATGATTCTAATGATGATGATGGTGATGATTATGGTGGTGATTGTGATGATGATGGTGGTGATTGTGATGATGGTTATGATGGTGATGATTATGGTGGTGATTGTGATGATGATGATGGTGATGATTGTGATGATGATGGTGGTGATTGTGATGATGATGATGGTGATGATTCTAATGATGATGATGGTGATGATTGTGATGATGATGATGGTGATGATTGTGATGATGATGGTGGTGATTGTGATGATGATGATGGTGATGATTCTAATGATGATGATGGTGATGATTGTGATGATGATGGTTATGATGATGGTGGTGATTGTGATGATGATGATGGTGATGATTATGGTGATGATTGTGATGATGATGATGGTGATATTATGGTGATGATTGTGATGATGATGGTGGTGATTGTGATGATGATGGTGGTGATTGTGATGATGATGATGGTGATGATTATGGTGATGATTGTGATGATGATGGTGATGATTCTAATGATGATGATGGTGATGATTGTGATGATGATGATGGTGATGATTGTGATGATGATGATGATGATGATGATGGTGATGATTCTAATGATGATGATGGTGATGATTATGGTGATGATTGTGATGATGATGATGGTGATGATTCTAATGATGATGATGGTGATGATTGTGATGATGATGATGGTGATGATTGTGATGATGATGGTGGTGATTGTGATGATGATGATGGTGATGATTCTAATGATGATGATGGTGATGATTGTGATGATGATGGTGGTGATTGTGATGATGATGGTGGTGATTGTGATGATGATGATGGTGATGATTATGGTGATGATTGTGATGATGATGATGGTGATATTATGGTGATGATTGTGATGATGATGGTGGTGATTGTGATGATGATGGTGGTGATTGTGATGATGATGATGGTGATGATTATGGTGATGATGATGATGGTGATGATTCTAATGATGATGATGGTGATGATTGTGGTGATGATTGTGATGATGATGGTGGTGATTGTGATGATGATGGTGGTGATTGTGATGATGGTGATTGTGATGATTATGGTGATGATTGTGATGATGATGGTGATGATTCTAATGATGATGATGGTGATGATTACTGTGATGATTGTGATGGTGATGATGGTGATGATTACGATGATGATTTAATGGTGATGATTGTAATGATGATGGTGATGAAGATGATGGTGATGGTGTAATGGTGATTATTGTAATGATGATGGTGATGATTATGATGATGATGATGATTCTAATGATGATGATGGTGATGATTGTGATGATGATGGTTATGATGATGGTGGTGATTGTGATGATGATGATGGTGATGATTATGGTGATGATTGTGATGATGATGATGGTGATATTATGGTGATGATTGTGATGATGATGGTGGTGATTGTGATGATGATGGTGGTGATTGTGATGATGATGATGGTGATGATTATGGTGATGATTGTGATGATGATGATGATGGTGATGATTCTAATGATGATGATGATTGTGATGATGATGGTTATGATGATGGTGGTGATTGTGATGATGATGATGGTGATGATTATGGTGATGATTGTGATGATGATGATGGTGATGATTGTGATGATGATGATGATGATGGTGATGATTCTAATGATGATGATGGTGATGATTATGGTGATGATTGTGATGATGATGATGGTGATGATTCTAATGATGATGATGGTGATGATTGTGATGATGATGATGGTGATGATTGTGATGATGATGGTGGTGATTGTGATGATGATGATGGTGATGATTCTAATGATGATGATGGTGATGATTGTGATGATGATGGTTATGATGATGGTGGTGATTGTGATGATGATGATGGTGATGATTATGGTGATGATTGTGATGATGATGATGGTGATATTATGGTGATGATTGTGATGATGATGGTGGTGATTGTGATGATGATGGTGGTGATTGTGATGATGATGATGGTGATGATTATGGTGATGATTGTGATGATGATGATGATGGTGATGATTCTAATGATGATGATGGTGATGATTGTGGTGATGATTGTGATGATGATGGTGGTGATTGTGATGATGATGATGGTGGTGATTGTGATGATGGTGATTGTGATGATTATGGTGATGATTGTGATGATGATGATGATGGTGATGATTATGGTGATGATTGTGATGGTGATGATGGTGATGATTACGATGATGATTTAATGGTGATGATTGTAATGATGATGGTGATGAAGATGATGGTGATGGTGTAATGGTGATTATTGTAATGATGATGGTGATGATTATGATGATGATGATGATTCTAATGATGATGATGCTGGTGATGATAGTGATGATGATGGTGGTGATTGTGATGATGATGATTCTAATGATGATGGTGATGATGATGGTGGTGATTGTGATGATGATGATTCTAATGATGATGGTGATGATGATGGTGGTGATTGTGATGATGATGATGGTGATGATTCTAATGATGATTCTGATGATGGTGTAATGGTGATGATTGTACTGATGATGATGATGGTGTAATGGTGAAAATGGTTATGATGATGATGGTGATGATGAGGATGAATCTAATGATGATGGTGCTGATGATGGTAATGATAATGTGGAGGTATATCTTTGTGATGATAGTGATAAAATGAAGGTGAACGCTGTTTGGTGAGCTCTATACAACATTAGGTGCATTTGACTTCAACGTGATGCATGTTGCATTTAAAGTAAGGCATGCTGGTTAGAAATTGTGTCTGACTTTCGCCGTGGCTGCAAAACATTCCCATTTCACATTACATTAAAGCCTTGTGGCGGCAAGGCCACCGCAGGCGCCGAGGTCGGCGGCTTTTCCCGGCTGCACAAAGTTGGAACCACCTTTTGACTGATCTGGTCAAAATAAAATGGTCTCGCGACATTTTCTTTGCAAATGCTGCGAGACCAGTCGTTGCTCTCAGCTCACAGTACGATCGTGCAGGTAGAATATGTCCGATTCGGCGGCGCCGTATTTATTCCCCGCCCCCGCAGTCGTCTGGAACTCAAGTTGGCAACAGTCAGCCACAGTCATCTCAAATGCACCTATAGTGTAACTGGCGCTTGCTCCTCTGGTGTGAACGCTGCCACCCTCTGGTGAAGCCTTTGACCTGCAGCTGATCTGGATCGGCACATGTAAAAAGACACAATGGATCTGGTTTACTGTCCGGCCTTCAGATCTGAGACGTTCTTCCTTCCAGGCTGCTGGTTTCTGAACGTTTCTGCTTTTATTTTTGTGGTCATGCTGTTAAAACAGTCCTTGTCAATGTCCATTTTTAAAATGTGTATTCCTTCATTTAAAAACATGAAAGTCCGTTGTAGACTGTTTCCTCTGTGCTGCATTATATGAAGTTTTTAAGAGGATACATATCCTGCATAAATGGGACAAAGAAATCAGTTTGTTTGTTTGTTTTCAGGGTCGTTCAACAGCAGCCTGCGTCCTCCTGAAACCTTCTTTAAAGTCATTTTCTGGTTGGGATACTTCAACAGCTGCCTGAACCCCATCATCTACCCCTGCTACAGCCGCGAGTTCAAACAGGTAACACTCAGAGTACTACTCATACAACTGATAGTACTACTGACAGTACAGATACTACTGATATTACAGGCCGTTGATCCAACGGGTAACAACAGGGATAAATTTTGCAGATCTATGTTAGTACTGCAGCTGATAGTCCTGTAGTGTCTGAGTGAAGCAGTGAGGAACATTAAAGTCTCGTCTGTCAGACAGATGATGGGGACTAACTGGTTCGGTTTGTTTGGCTGTTTCTGTCTCTGTTTGTCTTCAGGCGTTCATCCGGATCCTTCGCTGTCGCTGGAAGAGGAAGCGTCAGGGCTGGCAGGCGTACTACAACTACCGCTGCCATCAAGGCTCCAACAACTCGTCCTTCCTGAGCGGCAGCCAGCAGACTCTGTCCTCCATCAGCCCCAGCCCGCGCTGCGTCGCCTCCAGACTCCGCCCCTCTGACCGAGACCTCCTTCCCGGACAGACGGGGAGAGGACGGCCGAGCTCCTTGTCCCCGCTCGCTAAGGATGCCGGGACGGCGATGCGGATTGGCTCGGGCCGGTGATGAACGTAAAGGAGGAGCAGCAGCCACGCAGGAAGGTGGAACACTAACTGACACACCTGCTGCCTCAGGTGGCCACGCCCCCACCCTGCCACGGACAGGACGTGGTTTAGAAAAAACGCACAGGTGTCACTGAGGCGTCGTTCAGGTGTGATGACGGCACCCCCCCCCCCCCCCTTAGCCTACGTAACTCACCTGGCGGAGCTGCTCACTGTAAATAAACACACGTTAAAGTGTTTTTTTTACCGTCCACTGCTAACGAAGCTCCTACCTCTGCTGCACATGTGCAACAGCTCACACAAACTACATTTACCAGAACTACAATATAAAGAACAAAACTACAAATAAAATGAATAAAGAAATCAACAAATTAAAACTAACTACAAAGATAAACATCGGCCATCTTTCTTTCTGTAAAATAGAAACTACGACCTTTTCACTATTATCCACGTGTTTTATTTTGAAAGTCAGATGTTGCATATTTATTATTGCTAACTTGGTGATTTTGTTACATATTTAATTATTGTTATTTTTTCTTTCTTTCTTTCTTTTGCCAAAACGCTTCAGACACTTGAGCTGAACCTCCTGAAATATTATATTATTATTTTTATTAATGAGCTTTAAAAAAAACCTGAGCTCTTCTGTAATGAGTTATTTATTTGTCAAAATCATTTGGTAACCAAACCTAAATGATTCAAACTGAGTAAAGTTAATTGTAAACATTACTCTATATATGTTTATTTATTGAGCTAACTAACTTCAAACAGCATTTATTTTGAGAATCTTCCCTCAGACTCATCAGACGATTGTCCGCTGAGCTGAACTGTTCTGACTTTGTATTTGTGGAGAGAAGTTGGAGGTTTTTCCCTTGAATACAGTGTGATCACAGCAGCGTCTGGCGGACGTCAGAGGAACTGCAGCTGCTGGTTGGTGTTTTTTTAAATCAAACCCCTCCCAGATGACAAACCTGACCCAGCCTGCAGCTTCTCTAGTGGATGTAATGACTGCTGAGCCCAGCTGCCTACAGGATGGACTGATCGTTGCTGGAAGCTGTAGTTTATTCTCTTGAGATGGAGCTAGGCTCGCCGTTTCCCCCTGTTTCCAGTTTTTGTGCTAAGCTAGGCTAACCATGTTGTGGACCTGTCTATGTGCTGGAGATGAAACTGATCTGTCTGGAGGAGACTGACGACAAATGTTTGAGTGTTCATTTTAATAAAAGACAAAACTTGAGTTTGGAGTGTTGTAAAGAATCATTTAAGTAAATTTGATATAATAAAAAAACATTTCTGTTTCATCAGTGCTGCTGAATACTTTGGAACGGCTGGTGAAGGACGCACTTTGGACCCTGCACAGGATAAGTTAGACCCTCTCCAGTCCGCCTCCAGGTCGGGCAGAGGCGTGGATGAGGCAACAGGGACGCTTTAAACATGGTTTTTAAACATCTTCAGGGGGGAAAAGTCTCTTATCCGTCTACTATTTACTGACTTCTGCTCTGCTTTAACTGCATTCAGCCCCATGTTTTAGCAGACAGGTTGAAGGACATTGATACTGGACTGATCTGCTGGCTGATGGATTTTTTAACAGCAGGTGAGAGTGAACGGTGTTTTATCAGATGCCCTTTTCTCTTCTACTGGGTCCTCTCAGGGCTGCGTCCTCTCCCCTCTTTTATTTGTTTTATACACAAATAAATGCCACAGCCATCATGAACGGCGCCACATTATTAAATTTGCGGATGACTCGGTCTTTCTCGTTTGTCTGCTGGCACTTTATATTAATCAGAAAAATCCCATGCAAGGTGTCATGAAGGTATGCAGCAAAATTGCAGGCACACCCTTAGATGACCTCCATGACCTGTATAAGGTCAGATCCTTGAAGAAGGCGAGAGCCATGCTGGCTGATCGAGTCATCTTTTGGGGGGTGAATTTACGCTGCTGCCATCCGGGCGCAGAGACAGTCTGCCGCAGAACGAATAGATTAAAAAGGCCATTCATTCTGGCTGTTATACCTGTTGTTAATAATATCCTGTAAATTCAAATTTCAATTACGTTGTTCTGTGTTTGTGTTTATTTGTTGTGTTTGAAACATATATTTGTTACTGCTGGCTGTAATCCAAACTGCCCCTCGGGGATAATAAAGTTACCTTGTACTGCTGAACAGGATATAAATCTACTTAAACTGTAAAACTCCATCCAGATGAAACCTTCACTGAGCTCCTCTGGAATTTAATGGCCCACTCATATAGGAAGCCATTTGCGCTGCGCTGGCCGCAGGGTTCAGCGCAAACGTTTGAATATTTTGAACTCTGACCTCGAACTTTTGACTGCAGCAACAAACCGCCGTGGCGCGGTCAGCCATTGAAAACAGTGGGTTTCACAGTGCAGCAGTTCGGTCGTCACAGTACGTCTGAAAGGCCCATAAGTCATCGCTCAGGACGACAGGTTGGACCTGGTGAGACTGCAGGATCTGGTCTGTGACACACAGGACTAAGACCCAAATGGTGCGTTTGACTTCACGCAGTGCTGACATAATGTGATGCATGCTGGACTCAACACAAGGCATGCTGGGTAGAAATTTAATCTGACTTTCGCTGGCGCTGCAAAACGTCACCGTCTCACATGACAGTAAAACCTCGCCGGAGCAAGGTGGCTGCAGCATTCTGAGTCTGGCGACCGCAGGAGTTCTTCTCCGGCTGGACAAGTTGGAACCACGTTGGAACCACGTTGGAACCACGTTGGAACCACGTTGGAACCACGTTGGAACCATGTTGGAACCACGTTGGAACCACGTTGGAACCACGTTGGAACCATGTTGGAGCCACGTTGGAACCACGTTGGAACCATGTTGGAACCACGTTGGAACCACGTTGGAACCACGTTGGAACCATGTTGGAACGCCGCGTGGTTCCAACTGGTCCAGTGTTCAAAGCTCACACAATGTATGGGAGGTAGAATGTGTTGACAGCAGTGTTTTTACACCCCGGCCCTGCAGTCGCCGGTAGTTTTAGAAGTCGCTCTCTTCCTTCTCAGTCAAAACTCTGATCACACAGACATAAAATACGTGTTTATTAATGCAGTGTGATTTCCAGTTCCCGAGGATACCGTGACCTCTGATGTCTGTCCAGAACACCCAGAAATCCGAAACCAGAGAGGGACGCTGCAGTGCCTCTGAGAATCTTCAGACTTTTAAGCTTCCTTCACCATCTCAGTGATCCGGTGATAGCTGTCTGTACATGCTAACTGCTAACAGGAACTGCTAACAGGCTCTAATGTTTCTGTCCTCTTATTGGTTCCCGTACTTGCTGATATGTTGGCGTTAGGATGTCAGATTTCACCCTGAGCTAATGACATGCACTTCCTCTTTAAAGGCCACACCTTATGCTCATTTTAGGTTGATGCTTTTTTTTGGGGGGGGGGGGGGGGGGGGGAGGTCTTGGGGAAAATGTTTACACCCTTTTATGTTCAAAAAGCAAATAATTGTTCTGATACTGTCCGAAGCTGCAGCACCTCTATTCACACAATTTCTTCTGATGGGCCACGCCTGCCGAGGGCCACAGGGCCTCATCCTCCTGCTGGAGCTCGACAGCATATGACGGCTTTAACTTCAGAAGTTTACTCACTGGTTTTGGGGAAGCCGGATCAGACTCGATGAAGAAAATGTTGTCTGCTTTCTCTGATGTCTTCCAGCTGCTCTGCTTCGACTCTTCAGGATTCATGCGCCGCTGAAAAAAGTCCCCAGCAGATGCACCATTTCCTCCATGTTTGTCTGCAGCGAGCAGGAGAGGGTTTTGTTGACTCAGTTATATGAAAAGGTGTTTCTGATATTTTGACATTAACATATTGTGTTGTGGTTTATCTAGCAAATGATTAATTAATACAATGAAGGATTTCAAACATGGGGGGTTACTTAAATACTGCCTGATAATAAAGACAGAGGTGATGAAATGTTTGAAATGTTAAAATCTGTCAGAGCAGGAGATGTCTGGTGGCTTATGTCTTATTGTGATCAAGACAAAACCCAACTTTTACTGGACTGTTACAGATCAGAGGGGAGTCATGTCCGGTCTAAAGTTCCAGCTCTGAGTGTGACTGCTGGACCTGGTCCATCTGATCCATCCATCTGTGAACTGTGGAAAACCCAGATGGTGATAAATGTGACTGTTGTACAGCTGCACGCTGGTCAAACAAACAGACAGAAATCAACTGCTTCTCTGGAAACACTGCCGTTAGAGCTGAAAGACAAACTCACCCACTCTGTCTGAGGTATCTTTGCACTTTACAGTGTTTGACCTTGTAAATGTCATCTTGTTTAAGCTCAATAAAGTTCTTAAAAGAAAACAGAGAAGGCCGCCAAGAAGCCAAGTGATTCTGCTACAAACATCTGCTTTATATGCAGACTTCCATAAAAAGAGAGCAACGAGGCGTTTAGGGGCAGTTTGGAAATATCGTCATTTTGGGTGCTTCTGGTTTGATCTGGTATGAATGAGTATTTTATTTATATATTTAGCTCCCTGAAATAAAATATAGGCTGGTAGTAACATGATTAATAAAGAATCTGTCTGTTCCTGCAGTTAGTCCTAAATAGAATAGAATAGAATAGACTTAATTAATCTCACAATGGGGAAATTCACTTGTTGCATCAACTCCAGTACGAAAAACAAACCAAAACACAAGGAAACAGTAAAAAATAAAATAAAATAGACATTAAATTACAAAGGAATTAAAATTGGAATAAAGTGTCTCTTTGTTGTCCCAGGCTAAACATTCTCTGTATAATTGAAATGTATTGATTGTATATTTTTTCTCACGCATGTGCACAGTACCCTCTCACCACCCAAACCAGACCAAACTTACCGGAAAATAGCTGTATAGATTGATTATTAAACAGCTTTTTAAGACCCATGTAGACATTTTAGCGACCTCTAGTGGCAGTATGAGTGTAGCGACGGAGGAAGTCAGATGACGTTTTATAATAAGTTTTCGAATGTTGTCCCTAATCTGAATTCTCTCTACTGTACCTACTTAGATTATTTCAATAAAAATATTACACCATACAAAACATACAAACATAGTTAATATTTAAATTTTTTACCTACTTAACCAGAAATAAACATTAAGATTCAAAATCTCTTTTCCAAGAGTATCCTGGCCAAGTCAGGCAGCAGCACACTTCACAAGGTTGCAGACATTGAAACATATAACATAAACATAAAACATATAACAATTTACGATGGGAATAAATAGTGAGTTACAAGGTCATAAAATGAAATATTTACAACAAGGATCTTCTGAGTAATCAATCAGAACATCTACAGCCAGTGTGTACAGCATCCATGTCGTTTAAAAGTACTTTAAAAGCAACCAGTGAAACCTGCTCCTGAAGATTCAGGACATTTTGCAGCTGATTCCAAGCAGAAGGAGCTGCATACTTTAAACGCCCCTTTTCCCAATTCAGTCTGGACATGAGGGACAGATAACAGTAATGAGTCCTCAGAATGAAGACAATATCTTCCTGTGCCTTTCTTTTGGATGTAGATTCCCTATCATACAAGGAGCAGTGGTGAGTAAGGGCTCTAAAGTTTGTGATGAACCTCAGAGCTCCATGGTAAACATATTCCAACAGTTTCAAGCTTTGACTGGACGCATGCATGTATTTAACATCGCCATAGTCCAGCACTCACATAAAAGTGGCAGCAACAAGTCTCCTTTTGGCCTCAAAGGAAAAACACGACTTGATTCTAAAATAAAAACCCAGTTTCACCTTCAGTTTCTTCCCCAACAGCTGAATGTGAGATGAGAGAGAATCATCAATTAGGATACCAAGATACTTTGATTGAGATACAGACTCAATCTAGGTGGTGATGGCGTAGTGGATAAGACACATGCCTTTGGTGTGAGAGACTCAGGTTCGAATCCACTGTGAGACACCAATGTGTTCCTGAGCAAGACACTTAACCCCTCATTGCTCCAGAGGCGTGCAACCTTTAAGTCGCTTTGGATAAAAGATGAATAAATGTAATCTTGGAGCCGGGTGGAAGGTTCAGTGACTTTAATTTTACACTGGAAAACAACATAAGTTTTGTTTTGTCGTCATTCAGAACAAGTTTTAAATCAAACAAGCTACGCTGTACAGTATCAAAAGCAAGTCGTAGCTTCCAAGAGCCTGGTTTAGTGTAGATGCAGAGCAGTATATCACAGTATCATCGGCATAGAAATAAAAATCTCTATATTAGG